TGCCATCACCAAAAAGGAGCCTTCCTTTAAAAAACTTCCCTCTCCTTCCATGGTCTTCAAATATTAAAAAATAAGAGGGAAGGATAGTGGACACGTGGATAGTACATAAATAATTGTAATTTTAATTTTCATCAGATATGTTAACAAGAAAGCAAGCCAGTCTGGTTGCTTTAATTCATGTCCCCTATTTCTCTCCTAACCAACTTCCCAACCCCCATTCTTTAATAGCTCTTAAGTAATGGATTCTGTTGTAATAAACTCAAGATAATCATGATGTAGGAAAAAATAATAAGACAATGGGAATTTTAAACAATACTACAGACCTATGATCACCCTAATTAATAAATACTTAATCTATGTCTTTAGACACACACAAGCAAAGAGCTAAACCAGCCATTAAGTCATAATTTAGCTATGTGGGTACTAGATAATCACTTGTAAAATGATATTTAGATATTGCAGTGAAAAAGATGCTTATGTTTTATTACAAACACTCAGTGGCATAATATACAATGCCTCAAATTCGGTAAGAATAAAGAAAAACACATAAAAGGATTATAGGAATAACTGTAACAGGAATAGTTCTGAGTAACTATTATCCAATTGGTCTTACATATATATGCAGCCTGAAAATATTTTACAGCCAAGAAATAAATCTGCTTCTATTGCCATAATTCCCATACTTATAAATAACACTACTGCAATTTCTTTTCTTCCCTTCTTCCCTCCCTCTTTTTTGGTAAAGAAAGGAAAAGCTCATAACACTGCTGTGAAGTCATAATAACCGAAGCCAAAATATTAGGACAGGTAAAAAAAAAACTGAGATTGTTTAGAAATGAAGGAAAAAGCCCCTAGCTATTTAAAACATTCCAACCCAGGGGTGCCTGGGTGGCTTAGTCGTTAAGCGTCTGCCTTCAGCTTAGGTCATGGTCCCAGGGTCCTGGGATCGAGCCCCACATTGGGCTTCCTGCTTGGTGGGAAGCCTGCTTCTCTTTCTCCCACTCCCCCTGCTTGTGTTCCCTCTCTCGCTGTGTCTCTCTCTGTCAAATAAATAAAATCTTTCAAAAAAAAAAAGGCTTTGCCTGTGTTAACTGTGGAATATTAAAAGCAACAGATATATTCTAAGATTTTGTTTTTATGTAGGCACATAAAAATGCTGCTTAGAAGCAAAGTATTTTGAATAGAGAGAAAGCAAACTGGTTCTAGCAAACAGAAAGATGTTGTAACATAGAGTGATGAATATTACCAATGGAAAAGGACATTACTGATCACTACAAAAAAGATTTCTAACACTATAGCTCTCAGGATTGATGCCATTTTTAGTACTAGAAGAGACCTAGGAGACTTTAGCAATTAGTAATGTTATCACCAAAAAGGAGCCTTCCTTTAAAAAATTTCCATTTCCTTCCATGGTCTTCAAATATAAAAAGATTGTATCTATTGGGGAGCTTGGGTGGCTCAGTCAGTTAAGCGTCCGACTCTTCGTTTTGGCTCAGCTGGTGATGTCATGGGTCCTGGGATCAAGCCCTGTGCTGAGCTCTGCACTCAGTGGGGGTGGGGGGGGGGTGTTTGCTTGAGGATTCTCTCCCTCTTCCCCTCTCCTGGAGAATGCACTCTCTCTCTAAAATAATTAAAAAAAATTTTTTTTAAAGATTTTATCTATTAATATAAATGCTTATATCTTATTAACCAAAAATATATAATAAAACATAAAGCGCAATAAAATGACTTACATCAGGTTTTATGAAATTCTGACAATAGCTTCTAACTCCTCACAGGTGGAACCAGAGAGGGCTGGGAATCAATTTGTTCATTTTAGAAGCAAGTACATGGAGGCCTAGAAAGGTTAAACGGTAAACTTCTTCTAAAAAAATAGTAAGGTTCAAAAATCCAAAATGTAATTAGTAGGTAAAACAATTGATATGAAAATAAGTATCTATATTTTAGTAGTATTCATTTTGTTTTGTTTGGCTTTTATACCATTTTGTTTGGGGTATTTAGAAGTTTCAGTCAAAACTATATCTCACTTGAAAGTGACCATTTTTAGCTGACCATTAAATAATTTGTGAGATACAAGTGGGTGGAGGTAGGTTTATAAGCTGAACTCATCCCTGTATTATTTATACTTTTTCTGTGCCCTAGTGTCTGAGAATTGCAGTCTACAAGACAATCTGCCATGGAGAAGGTGGCTAAATAAGGAGAAAAATGATACTGTCTAGGACAAGTGCCAAATTCTGTTTCTGTCAATCATGTCTTCATATTACCCATCACTTCCTGACCTGGCAAAAAGTTAGTCTGAAGACTATCAATTTGGACCTACTCTGTGGTGACATCAAGAGACATGCCCTACTGGCCCATATATACAGAAAAAGGAAGTCATTTATAATCATAGCCTCCAAATTTTAAATAGTAGAAAGCCTAAAATTATTTTTGAAAAATAATCAAATCTAAGATACCATTTTTCAAACTAGGGTTATAACCCAATATGGGGTCATAAAAGCAATTGTGTGGATCATAAATCAGCATTTTATAAGTCAAATAGAAATAAATATAGAAAACAGAATATATTACACATAGCAAGGATATTATTCCATGAAAAAATTTTATTTGTTTAAATATATTGCATATACACATATATATAGTTGCATACAAACATACATAAAACACACATATCTGACTAGGCGTATGGGTCACAATTTGTATATAGTTTTTGCTATAACTCACCATATAAAAAATATGTATCTATTGTTAAGAATAGATATTTCTTTTGCTTTGTATACCAAGAAGCATTATCTACTCTTTCTGATCTAAATTACCCACATAGAGTTGGGCTCAGAGATCCTTCCCCAAAAAAAATCACAGCAAAAGAAAAATGCTAATTACCTTGACCTTAATTTACATTTTGCATTTACAGCCTTAGGTCACATGCTATAGGCCTTTCTTGGTCTAAACACTTTTTCCCCTGCAAATGCCTTCCTCCTTCAGCTTCCTCTTCCTCATTCTTCATTACATGGCCACCCTCTCCTTCTCTGTCTACACTGCTGGTTCCTCTTTTCCTCCTACCTCCTAACTGGAAATTATCTCTGTTCTTACATACTGCAATTTCTCTGTATATTTTTCCCTTGCTGAAAAGCTATCCATTGCAGTTTCAAATAATATTTCTATTTTGTTACTGCATTCTAGGTGCTTACAATGTGGTGCAAAGGACATGCATATATACTGTGCCCTTTCATGGCTCTGTGCCTCTGCATAAACTGCTCTCTTTGCCTAGGAAGTCCAGCCATAAGTGAAAGATGAGAAGGACATAGAATTAAGGCATTTGCTTCCTTTTTGTTCTTTTTTGCTAGAAGGGAGTGACTTGCTAAGGAGACTAAACCAGTAAAGAGGGAAGTCAATGATGCATTTATTTATTAATTCTTAGAAGAAATAATTACTGGAGGAAGGTCTTGAGGAGCTAAAATTCAGTCAGTAGTTGTAGAAATTTGCCACGGACTGAAGGATATCTTTTCTAAAAAGATTGGAGGAAAATAAGTAAGGGTAAGAAGGTCAACTAGTACTTAGGGGGAGAGGTAGCATAGATCTGCATACGTATTATACACCAACAGGAGCGAAGTTGTTTTTAAAAAAAATTTTTTTAAAGACTTACTTATTTTAGAGAGAGAGTGTATGTGCAGGGGCAGAGGGAGAAAGAAACTCAAGCAGACTCTGTGCTGACTTCAGAGTCTGATGCAGGGCTTGACCCCATGCCCTGAGATCAGGACCTGAGCCAAAACCAAGAGTCAGACGCATAACCAACTGCACCACCCAGGCACCCCTGAAGTCCTTTATATTTATTTGTAAAGTAGGAGGAGGTACAATGAGCATGATGGAGAAGATGATGGGGTCAGAGAATTCAAGAGATTGGTGTTGGGTTTAGAAAAACACTTTGGAGGGGCACCTGAGTAGCTCAGTTTGTTGAGCATCTGACTCTTGATCTCAGCTCAGGTCCTGATCTCAGGGTCGTGGGTTCATAGGTTTGGGCTCTGTGCTGGCCACACGCTGGGTGTGAAACCTACTTGAGGAATAAACAAAACAAAATAAAACAAACCCACTCTGGAGCATGGAAAAGGGCACTGATTAGGACCCATGGGCAGCTTTGAGGACACAATTAAGAATGTAATAATGAATTTATACTGGTTCAAGTTTGTTCTGCTGTGAGTTTTTTTTCCCCTGGCTATCCTAAGCAGCCTGTGGGTAGGCATAAAGAAGGTAAAAGGTTGAATTGGTTTACAGTTGGAGTTTCACTAGGCAGATGCATTATAAGGCAATGAGGGTGAGGAGATTTAAAAAGCACAAGGGACAAAGTGGCTAAGATAACTGAGGGAGAGGGAAATAATTCGGGGGGGGGCCTTACCAATAGATAGATGGGGGAATAGATGAGGGACTCAAGAAACTTGAGCTTTGTGATGAAAAAAGAGATATCAAAGGGGTAGGGTAGTATAAAAATATATATAAAAAAACAGAATTTTAAAGGGTCAGATATAAATAAATGGAAATCCCAGTATTTCCTTCTCAACTCCAATAGCATCTTGTGGATGTCACTCTGGAAACAATGCTCTAAAGAGATAGAAAGGAATATTCCATACAATGGAAAGGCAAAGTAATGTAATTAATAAGTAGGAACTGTCTAATTCAGCTCTGAAATAATAAAATCAAATTTCTGACTCTTCTGAAGCTTCAGACTGGACTTTAGTGAAGCTCTACCAAAGTACTGGTTCACAATGAGGTTCCCAAATTCTTGCAACTGCAAAAGAATCTAGGCAATGACCGTATTAGGCTTAAATACTGAGGTACTAGATGCGTTCCTACTCCAGCTAAAGAAAATATCCCTAAGTACAGTATAGGAAGAAAAACAAGCCCCATTTAAAAAATGATGATCAGAAGGTTAAACACTGACATGGCAGAGTTTCTCCTCAGCAGCAGAAATTGTCCCCTGTATGTTGTACCAAAAAACGACTCACCTGAATAAAATGTGTTGATTTTGGCAAGTTCCTTTTCACAGGTTTGGAAAAATTTTTCTTCAAACTTGGCAAAATACCTCTTTACCGTGTCCTCATCTGTAACTGAAAGCAAGGAAAAGAGTATTTGAATATGATGTCCAAAGGCCAATTAAGAAAACTAGGGAAATAAAATTTAAAGGTACTACTTCCTTATTCTTCAAAATGACAACAATGAACTGTGAACCATATTAAGCAAACACTATTGTGTTCTTCATAGGAACACAGTCATTTTTTAACTGAATGAGACTCTCTCTTTACTATAATAAATTTATAGTGGTGAAAAAAGTAAGTGTTCTAAAACTTCAGAAGACACTACTGTACAGATGTGATCAAGGAAGATTCAAGGTGTTGGGAGTAGAAATGAGTAGGATTTAGCAAGAGTAAATATTTCAGGGAATAAAAAAAGGAACAGAAAATGAAGACATGAATATATAATATGATCCTGGAAAAAATGAGTTGATTATTTCTACTATATTAAATTGCTTTCCACTCATTTTCACTTAGCTGCACCAGATACAGAAAAAAAATGTAGACTGATGGTTATAGATTACATATTCTCAGCCTACAGCTGCTGGGTAGGAACATAAGTGAGTTGAGCAAATGGGTGATTGTACAAGCATGGTGATAAACGGCAACTGACACCTTCAGGATAAGGAGTGGTATGGATTCTGGCAAGTAAGAGCACATGTCCATCTAATTAGTTGCCGTCCTGTGGTGACAGAGTTAAAGTTGTCACATCTTCCAATTTTCAAGACAAGCCACAAATCCAGATATTTTAAAACATAGTGTAGACCAATCAATATATGCCTCTGCAGGCTGGATCCACTTTGTGAGTTCTGTTATACAGCTGTTAATTTACTGAATACCGTAAGTACAGATATATGTAGCTTCAGGAACCTCCAAGCCTAAAAGGGTATGATTCTTGTCCAAGTAAGATCTGCCTAGACTCCAGATGCTAATCATAATTTAGAACTATCCTATTTCTGGATCTCTGGGGCAATCTAAGCTTGAAATGTGTAGAAAAAGTATAGGTCATTTTATGTTCCCCAGTTGCTTCAAATCTTAGTGCAATCCCAAAAACCCTTACACAATTCATCTGTCCAGGAATAAGAGAAACAGTATTTCCCTGAGTAATAGCAATACACACATACACATACTAATTCTTTGTACCAGAGATACTTTAAAGAAAAACAAAAGCTTAAAATGAAGTTCTAAAAAGCATGTAAAATCTATTCATTTAATTTGAATAACACAAATGTTAAGAAAAAATTATCACTACACAAAACCTTGACTTTATTTCTATACCTACTTCTCTATTTCTTATGCTTTAGAACTTAACAGATAACGCAGGATTCTATTGATTTTGCAGTAAAGAAAGGGTGGCCACTTTAAGTTCCTCATGTAAGCTTCATAATTTAGGTACAATAAAGGCTATAGCTGCCCAAGGCCACTGTGAATTATTTTTACAAAGCATAAAGCAGGTCAAAGCACCCTTTTAAGGTGACCTTGAGTTAGAGATGATCCATGGTAACAGATGCTGCTCTTATAATAGCATTTAGCTATAGCTAATTTAAAATAAGAGTAATATCTCATTCTACTTTATTACCCATTTTTTAAATTTTTATTTTATTCTTTATTGTATTGTTAGGAAAGAAAACCCAAAAGCAAAATATAGGCTTGGTCAAATTTACTTTGTTTCCCTATTTACAGAACAAAGTTGTTCACCAAAGCAATTTAAATATAGCTTCTGTTTAAAAAATAATTTTAACATATTAATATTTATATACAGGTTGCATATTCAACAACATCAAATATTTAAAATATTACTAAGAGGATGCCTGGGTGGCTCAGTTGGTTATGCGTCTGCCTTTGGCTCAGGTCATGATCCCAGGGTCCTGGGATTGAGCCCCACATAGGACACCCTGCTCAGCGGGGAGCCTGCTTCTTCCTCTCCCTCTGCTCAAATGCTCTTTTTCTCTCTACCTCAAATAAACAAAATCTTAAAAATAAAATATTACTAAGAGCCTAGAAACCAAAAAAAAAATCTAAATAAGCCTCTGAGAAACCAAAACATATAATAAATTTTATGTATTAAAGCATGAACATTCTGGGGCGCCTGGGTGGCTCAGTCGTTAAGCGTCTGCCTTCGGCTCAGGTCATGATCCCAGGGTCCTGGGTTCAAGCCCCACATTGGGCTCCCTGATCAGCGGGAAGCCTGCTTCTCCCTCTCCCACTCCCCCTGCTTGTGTTCCCTCTCTCGCTGTGTCTCTGTCAAATAAATAAAATCTTTAAAAAAAAAATAAAGCATGAACATTCTACTCATTAATCAATCTCATATAAATTCTTCATTTCCTCAATTAAAGACTGTTTTATCGGGGCACCTGGGTGGCTCAGATGGTTAAGCGTCTGCCTTCAGCTCAGGTCATGATCCCAGGGTCCTGGGATCGAGCCCCACATCGGGCTTCTGGCTCAGCGAGGAGCCTGCTTCTCCCTCTGCCTCTGCCTCTCTCCCTGCTCATGCTTTCTCTCTCTCTCTCTCTCTCTGTGTCTCAAATGAATAAATAAAATCTTTAAAAAAAAAAAAAGACTGTTTTATCTAAAATACCAGCAGTCTCAGGGAGCCTGGGTGGCTGAGTCATTAAGCGTCTGCCTTCGGCTCAGGTCATGATCCCAGGGTCCTGGGATAGAGCCCCATGTCGGGCTCCCTACTCCGTGGGAAGCCTGCTTCTCCCTTTCCCACTCCCCCTGCATGTGTTTCCTCTCTTGCTGTGTCTTTCTCTTTCAAATAAATAAAATATTTTTTAAAAATAAAAAAATAAAATAAAATACCAGTAGTCTCTTATGTAGATTTCTGGTTCACATATAACTTAATAGCCACAAATCAGAAAAGAGTAGAGTAAGGTTATAGCAACACTAAAAAGTAATGGCAAAAACAGAGAAAAGAGGAAAAAACTATATATAAAAGTAGATCTGCATATACAGGTGCCCGCCATTTTTGAAAGTTCAAGTTACACCACTTTGTTTTTACAGAAGACATAACATGAGTACCTGTTTTTGCTAACTAAAAAGAAATCTGTAGAGGATTTCTGCTTTAAAAAAAAAAAAAAAGTTTTGAGCATTTGTTTTGCAGCAAGCCATTACAAAGGAAGCAAGCACCCTGCCCAGTGAGAGTGGCACCACCAAGCTCCTTCCCTGGGAACTGCACTCAGCATCTCACCATCAAGTCACCACAGCTTTGAACTATGTCTGCGAGCATCTGTGCTTTATCTCAATTTATTTTGTGCATCTGTTAGGAAAGTATGTCCTAAGGTATCAGAAAAGCCTAAGAAAGGATATTTTTTATTCTAGGAACACTAAAAATTGTTTCTATATAAATTAATGGTAACTACATCTTCACATCATTTTGGCTTACAAAAGGTTTCACAGAACAGTCTACTTTGGGGGAAACAGGTTCATAGGGATTTAAGAGTATGATAAAGGGTGTTTCAAATCAATGAGAAAAGAACGGACTATATAAAAAATAGGGTTGAGCCATTCATTTAAATAAACTCCAAATGGAGTTAAACAATGTTATAAAACACTAGAAAAAAATTAACTCTACATAGGGAAAGTTTTCCTAAATACTACACAAAACAGGCCATAAAGGGAACAACTGACATTCTCCCAAAATGAAAAATCTCCATTCCACAAGATACCACAAGCAAACTTAAAAGACAAGCAACAGACAGGAAAACATATCTGCAAAATTTAAAATAAAGGACTCACATGCCAAAGAGACTTCAAAAATGTCTTACAAATCAGTATTAAAAAGATATTCCACAAGAAAATGGGTAAATTAGAGCAATTCATAGAAAAATGCAAATGGCCAACAAACAAAAGGAAACGATACTCAACATCCCAGATATCAGTTTAATGTGACTTCAAAATAATGAAATATAATTTTTAAACCATCAGATTGAAATAAATTTTAAAATATTATTTCAGCAATGGTAAAGGTAAATGAACTCTCGCTGCCTGTTGGTGGGAATGTAAATACGTAAAGCCATTTAGGAAGGCAATCAGAGAGTAGCCACCAAACTGTTCAGTGCATTTAATTCCACAGGTAAGAAATATATTCTAAAGGAATTGCTGCACAAAAGGATGTGTGTGCAAGGATGTTCATGTAACATGGTTTTTAAAAGTGATAAAGGAAACAAAGTAATATTCAACAAAAGGGGAACAGTTAACCAAATTATAATAACATCATATAATACTATGCAGCCATTTTAAAAAGATACACATACATCCTGGTATGTATGAAAATCCCAAGACACACTGTTGATGAAAAATTTAAATAACAGAATATAGGCAGCATGACCTCATTTATGAAAAGATATGTGCATAAATCAATATTCATATGTACATTCATAGAAAGAAGATTGGAAGGATGCATACCAAACTGTTAATTGTAGTTATCTCATTTGAAAGAGGAGTAGGTATGAGAGGGAGTCTCACATTTTGCTATCTACACTTAAAATTGTATTGCTTGAATCCATTACAATAAAATGTATTCACGAATGATGAATTACATTGTATAAAGAGTATTATTAAGTGGTAAAAAAAAAGGAACATGTTGCATCCAAATCTTAAATTATACATAGTAAAACCTAACCAGCATAGCTAGTTGAAAAGAGTTAACTAAGAATGTAGAGGTACACAGGATGATTAAGCCTTTCACTCTGTTATGAGAAGTTGGTAGAATGCTGATTTTACAGAACATCAATATCTATTATAAGATGCTTCCTATAACTATAACCTATCTGCTGAATAATGTTAGAAATAATGTTAGAAATCAATAACTCTTAGAGAAACAGAATTTTAGTGTTCAGAAATCAACTAGCCAATTTTCCTTGTTTTACAAGTAAGGAAATACAGGTGGAGAGAGCCTAGATAACATGAGGTTTTTTTCTCCATTCTCCAGTAACAATGTTAAGTTTTATAGAAACTCACTATATTTTCTTATTATAAAATAATGAAAATAAAAATTACTATGATGTGTTACTTAAGTGTTATGGACTGAACTG